TCAATGGTAGATATTTAACAGACAAACCGTGAAGCGTCTCGCTCAGTTCAGAGACTCTTTGTAGAGTTTAGTTAAATTGGGATAGAAGAAATGTTCTCATCTCAATCAAAGTGTGACAGCTACTGAACTACTGCACACCTGAAGCAGAAAGTGCAACAAAGTTATATTTGACTAAACTGCAAAAAAGAAGCTTTTCAATTTGATCTACCTTGGCTCCAATTTTGAAAATATATGAAGAGAACTTGAATTCATGGAATATTTTGTAGTCCTTTGATCAAATTTGAAGGTTTTAAAGATACTGCTTTCCACTGCCCCACTGTTGATTGAATATTGCAGTGACATGTTAATGCCTTATAAAGGAGCTAGTCATTTCTAGCAACGCTGCCAAAAATTAGCACTTTGATCTTTGGCAAGCCATATTTTAAAAAAGCAATCCTAGGATGTGTGTGATGAAATAATAAATCGAATACCACTGACAAACTGAATTACATCAGGTTGTGGTACGAATACCTTGCCATTCAGTACTTGAACTAGCTCAAAGAAAAAGCTGCTGCAAATGAACGCACATATTGCCCTGTCCTCAGAGTTACATGTGACCTAATACACAAAATAAAAAAACAACACAGGAAGATAAAACAAACAAAAACCAGCTGGTTTTTTTTTTTTTTTTTTTTTTTTTTTTTTGCATCTGTTTCCTTTTTTCTCTGATTTCCACCAGGCATAAACAAAGTGGAGGCAGTTTCTGATAGGCAGGGTGGCTCATATGATCTGGGTGACTTTCTGAAGAAAAAAAACAGGCCTACCACCTTCCTCATAATCATCGTCATCATGTTGTTGGTCTCAGTAGTGGATTACATTAATATTATCCATGAGTGAAATGCAGCCAGCAGTCAGGAAAAATTCATATTGCGAGAAGATGAAATTCTTGAAAATCTATAACACCTATTGGGTATCTTGTCTATTAGCAGTAATGGACGTTGGAAGCTTATGAAACCAGCATGTGGAAGACAGCGTCTGAAGGCTTAATGGTATCCAGTGCAATGATTGCGATGATGATGTGATTGCTGACTCAGTGACAGCAGTTACAGAATTACGGCAGCATCAGTGAAACACGATATGAGACAACACATTTTCCAGCTGAGAGCTCTCTTAACTGGACCCCCACCACCACCACCACCACCCAGCTGCTTGCAGATAGAAGTGTGTCCATGTGCTGTACGGTCACCACAGTCAAGCTATTACCCGTTTAGCTTTGAATCCTCCAGATGTGTCACGATGAATCATCTCCCACATCTCTGGCTGAGATTGCATCTCCCTGTTGGTCTTCATCATATAAGAATGCACGCTTGTTCTTGAAACACCAAGATTAAAAATAACTAAATAAATAAGCCCAAGAACATGAATGTGTCACTTGTGGTCTTTGTGTCTTTTTTTTTTTTAAGTAAGTGTATTATGCTATATTCATTTTTCTTTGGGGCAAACAGAATACTGTTGTTTAAAGGCATCCCATTTTACACACTGTCACTCCCGTCTCTGAAGAAAAAAGCCTCACAGCAGTCCAGTGATGAATTGAACAGTAGCAGGTTTATGATGTTTTATAACACATTATTTTCACTATTATGATTACTATTCCACTTCTATGTTATTTACTACAATAATATTTCATAAAAATCTCATCAAAAGATCAAAACATTTTTGCACAATCAGTTTCTCGCTGCTTTTTGTCCCTGTTGGTCTATGCCAATGCAATATTTAAACATGTTAACAAATATGTGCTTTCACATTTTCTTAAAACCCGTTTTTATTTCTTAGGTTATAGGAAAATAAATGGGAAAAACCCATCAGAACAAGCCTGAAATTTTTCATCAGTGCAATGTCCAAGTAATTCCATGTACTTCCATTGTGTTTTATAGACTCAGAAATATGGAAAACATAAACTTTTTGCCCTTTTCTTAAGATGCAGAGCTGGCACGAGTAACCTACATAACCTAGAATTGGTTATTTCACATGTTCCCATTACATACACTCCAAAATTGCTCCACCTATTCTGATTTGGTTTACATATCGAAAAGGAGTAGGAAGAAGTGCACTGCACACATATTTAATCCCATAAATCATCAGGTAATATTTATCCAGCTTCCTTATTCATATAAATTAATGAATAAGGAAGCTGGATAAGACAAATTTGGGCCTTTTTTTTCATGAGACTCTGTGGGGACAGATTTGCTTTTGTGATCTTGCCTCACTTTTTAAAAAACCCAAAACAGAACTATCATGATACTTAAAAAAAAACCCTTTCAATGTACACTCTGCTCTATGTGACTATAGAATTTATGGCGACCACATCTTGTTGTAGTTTTTAATCTTTTGGCATTTGTTGACTATGTAAACACATTTACCGGGATAAATAGTTATTTTACGTTTTATAGTGTTTATTCTAGCCAATAATTAGGATGGACAAACTTTAAACTACAGCTGTCAATAGCATAACCTTGACCTAGGGGCAGTCATGGCTCATGCAATCGATTATCTAACAATCGGAAGGTGGATGGGTTGATCCCGACCTCCTCCAGTCCTCGGGCACGATACTAAACCCTGAGTTGTCCCTGATGCATTTGTTATCATGTTAGTTAGCATCATGTCAGATAAATGAATGAGTGTGGTTGGGTGAATGAAAGATGCTATATAAGTACCAGACAATTTACCTCCCATCTGACTCCAATAACTGCTTTGAGGTGGTTTATATTGCAAGGTAGAAAAAACCCTACATAATTCAAAAGAACCATCCACAATCACATGATCCCCTATAAGCAAACACTTGGCAACAGTGGGAAGGAAAAACTCTCTTTTAACAGGCAGAACCAGGCTCGGGAGGGGCGGCCATCTGTTGTGACGGTTTGGGGGATGAAGGGAAAGAGAAGAGAGCAGAGAGAAACAGGACAAAAGGGAAACTGTAGGACAGAGTTTGCTTTATTTAATCATTAGAAATAATTAGTGGTGTATAAACAGACAGAGTTTGAAAACAGATAAATGAAGGAGAAACGCTCAGTGCATCATGGAAAGCTTAGCTAGTTAAATTAGCTGGATGAGCAGCCTAGTACGATCAGACTATTTTTACAGTATTATCACTTCATAAACAGTGAGCGTGGTCTTAGGGCACGAATGGTGTTGGCTGTTTCTAGTGAAGAAGGCAATTTCAGATTCTGGGTTATTTCTCAAGGGTCACCACAGATTGATCCACCTGTCACATATTTTACACTGGATGCTTGTGTCTCCTCCCAGAATCAAACCAGGGATTTAGGTCTAAAAGGGAAATGTGCTAACTACTACTAGAACCACTCTTGCCATTTCTAGAGTAAGCCATTTAATTATTTTTCTTTTTATTCTCGTTCCCATCCCAAAACAGTCAAATGTCACATGTCTGAACGATTTCAGACCTGTGGCACTCACCCCCATTCCCGCCAAATGCCTGGAGAGACTGGTCATTAAACACATCAGAGCTGCTTTTCCACCATCCCTGGACTCGCACCAGTTTGCATACAGGGAGAACCGGTCAACCGAGGATGCGATCGCCACAGTGCTGCACACATTACTGAAGCACTTGGAACACAGGAACACCTATGCACGGCTCCTCTTTGTAGACTACAGCTCGGCTTTTAATACCATCCGGCCATACAAACTCCGTCCCAAACTCCACCAACTGGGACTTAACTCCTCTCTGTGCAACTGGATTGTGGACTTCCTCACTAACCGTAGACAGAGTGTCAGAGGGGGTAAGAACACCTCTTCCACCCTTGTGGTCAACACCGGTGCCCCTCAGGGGTGTGTTCTGAGCCCTCTGCTATACACTCTCTTCACCCATGACTGTATTTCCTCCTGCGCGTCCAATCTCATTGTTAAGTTTGCAGATGACACTACAGTGCTCGGACTTATATCCAACAATGATGAGACAAACTATAGGACAGAGGTGCAACAACTAGAGTCATGGTGCCACGACAATAACTTGGTCTTAAACACCAAAAAGACCAAGGAGATCATTGTAGATTTCCGGAAGAGGGGTCATAACAACCATCTGCCTCTCTTCATTGGCAGTGAGGCGGTGGAGAGGGTGAGCAGTTTTAAATTCTTGGGGGTAACTGTGACCGAGGACCTGTCCTGGGGCAACCATATCACCTCAGTTGTACGGAAGGCCCAACAGCGCCTCTACTACCTGAGGAGACTGCGGAGCGCA